GGCCCTTGTCCATTCAACACTTGATTTACACTTCAGTGCAGACTTTAGCGTGCGATGAAAACGTTCGACAAGTCCATTTGACTGTGGATGATATGCTGTAGTTCGATGCCTTTCACACCCCAAAATTTTGGCTAGCTCATCGAAAAGCTTGGATTCAAATTGTCGTCCCTGGTCTGTCGTAATCCTTTTCGGCACACCATAATGCGCTATCCAATCCTTAATTAAAGCCTCAGCCACACATTCTGCCGTAATCTCCGCCAATGGTACCACCACCGGCCACCTTGAAAACCGGTCAATGCATGTCAGGCAATACCGCATACCATTACTATAGGGCAAAGGTCCCACGATATCAATATGAACATGCTCAAAACGTTGATCAGGAGCGTTGAAATCCTGCAACACAGTCCTGTTGTGCCGCTGGATTTTTGACTTTTGGCATGCCATGCATGTTTTCACCATTTGACTTATTTCAGTCTTCATTTTAGGCCAACAAAAACGAGAACTTATTAGTTTTATAGTTGCTTTTCTACCAGGATGAGCTAAATTGTGTAACATTTCAAACACTTGCGCTCGGAAGGACTTTGTAATAAACGGTCTCGGTTTCTTTCCGGATACATCACAATACACAGAAACACCCTCTGTAATTAACTCTACCAACTTGAGCTCCAGAGATGACGCTGTACAGTTTCTTATCAACTCGTTCATCTCTTGGTCAACTTTCTGAGCTTCTGCCAACTTATCATAGTCTAGTGATCGTCTAACTCCAGCCACTACACTTTCGACTCGAGATAAAGCATCTGCGACCGTATTTTTGCTGCCTGCTATATGCTGAATATCTGTTGTCAGCTGCCCGATAAAATCTAAATGGCGTAACTGACGTTCTGATGCTTTTTCAGATCTTTGTAAGAAAGCAAATGTAATCGGTTTATGATCCGTTAGCACAGTGCAATTCCTGCCCTCAATCATGTACCTGAAATACTTGACCGCCATATATATAGCAAGTAGCTCGCGGTCATAAGTACTATATCTTTTTTGAGTCTCTGTCAGCCTTTTGGAATAGAATCCCAGCGGTTGCATCTGTCCATCTATAAGCTGTTGCAACACTGCTCCTACTGCAACATTGCTAGCATCCACATTTAGCACCAGTTTCGCATTCGGAGCCGGGTGTGCTAGCATTGCAGCATTCGCCAGATTATTCTTACACACTTCAAATATTTTCTCGGCCTCTGCTGTCCAATCAATCAGAGATCTATCATTTTTCTTATTTCCTTTTAATAGCGCGTGCAGGATGCCATGATTTTTTGCGGCATTCGGGAGGAAACGCCTGTAAAAATTAATTGAAGCAATGAACCTTCTTAACTCTCGTACTTCCTTCGGTTTTTTAAAATTTCTTATCGCTTCTACCTTTTCAGCTATAGGTCTAATTCCATCCCCATTTATCACATGACCCAGGAAGGTAACTTCTTTCATAAAAAACACACACTTTCCCAGATTGATTCTCAGACCATGATCACTTAATCGTTTGAACACTTCTCTTAAATGTATTTCGTGTTCCTTTTCATCAGCTGATGCTATACATATATCATCAATGTACGTTACCACATAACTCAGATTCTTTAGGACATCATTCATAAACCTTTGGAAAGTTTGCGCAGCATTGCATAAACCAAAAGTCATCATGTTAAACTCATATAAGCCGAACGGGGTTATTATCGCCGTTTTAGGTCGATCCTCCTCAGCAATCGGAATTTGATTGTAGGCCTTTTCCAAGTCAATGGTTGAGAAAATTTTCTTATTGTACAATATGCGAGTAAAATCATGTATATGGGGTATTGGATACCGGTCTGGTAGTGTTATTGAATTAAGCTTCCTATAGTCACCACACGGTCTCCACTTACCATCCTTTTTCGCCACTAAATGCAACGGACTTGCCCAATTGCTGTTACTTGGTCTACAAATACCTTGTTTCGTCATAAATTCAAATTCCTTTCTCGCAATTTCAAATTTTTCAGGATTTAACCGCCGAGGTTTTGCATACACTGGCTGTCCCTTGGTAACAATTTGATGCTCTACTAGCGTAACCTTCGTGGCCACCTTATTACTAGTAGCCGGTTCCGTTATCTCTTTATAATCCCGCAGAATGTTATGTACCGGGCTAGTCGCATCAATTGTGCTTAGCTTCACGCAGTGCATCTCTCTCTTCGAACCCATTACCTGGAGACCTGTAATGCCATCTAAAATTCTCCTGTTCTTCAGGTCAACTATCAAACCAAAATTATTCAAAAAATCCGCCCCTATTATTGGGTGATTTACCTTCGCCACTAGGAACTCCCACAGGAACTGTCTGCGCAACCCCAAATTGACTTGCACTAATTTCGTTCCATACGTGCTAATTTTCGCTCCGTTTGCTGCGTATAAATAATATTGCGTGGCTTCATTTTCAGGCTGCATTCTCTTTGGCAAAATTGAAACTTCCGCGCCTGTGTCTATTAGATAATTTATACCTGTTTTTTTATCTTTGAAGAACAAACGGCATGCTTTACCCTCTGCCACTTCACTCGCCGTCAGACGTGAAGTGGTGTTTAGTTTTCCGCTGAGTTTTGCGGTGGTTTGTACTGGCAAGGCTGAACACATTTTGTGGACCTCTCCTTGAACCGCCGATGATAAAAACAGATATTACCTCTTCTAGCACTTGATGATCGCCCTTTTCCACGATCTCTGTCATTGCTTCTTCCTCTTTTGCCCAACTGAATGACCAAATTATTTATCATGACTTTCAACTCGTCAATTTCCTTCCTCATCTCCTTCGGTTCATTCCTTTGAACTACACAAACCGTTTCTGTTTCCTGTACCTCAAATACCTTATCAGCCACTTTGGCCCACTGTGCAGAATCACCTTCCACTGCAGCTACGATTGTTCTAACTCCCACTGGCAGTCGCTGTAACCACAATGACTTTAGTACATCATTCATTGAATTGCCGGCCATCTCCTTCATTTTCTTCAGCAATTGAGTTGGTTTCATGTCACCTAGCTCCAATTCTGTCAGCAACTTACGCAGCCTTTTGTGCTCCGATTCTGTGAATTCATAAATTAACCGTTTCTTCAACGTCTCATATTTCAACACCTTCGGTGGATCTCGAATCACATCAACTATGCACTCCAGGTATTTCGGCTCTAAACTTGCTACTACATGGTCGAACATTGTATCATCTTTCGTTATTCCCGCATTCCTGAACTGTGCTTCCATTTGCAGAAAAAAAAGGTCCGGATGCTCTCTAGAAAACATCATCGGCTTAACTGAAACCCGGTATACCTCCTTGTCAGTGCGACTTTCTCCTTCTGCCGGAAAAAATCTTCTTCCTCACG